TCTTCTCTTTGGCTTCCTGGGTTCCACCCCTTCCTCCTGCTCTTCCGGCCTGCTACTCTGTGCTACACCCGGGAAGTGGGAAGAGAGCTGTTATATCATGAGGATTTCAATTAACATCACAAAACAAAATGTATCTGAACTGTTGAATGAAAAATGAATTTGCTCTATAAACTCCAAATCTCAATAAAAAGTTGAAAAAAAAAAAAAAAGCTCACTAGATCAGATGATGGGAGAAAGACACAGAAAATAATGTATCACTAATAATACAAGAAATTATTTTAGATGGATGTATTTTTGAGTTTATTTTTCTTTAATATGTAGGTATTTGTTTTAATAAGCATTAAAATAAACATAACTCACAAATTGTATTAGTATATAATCTTGGCTGGTTTAATACACAGAATTATAGTGTCTTCAACAGAATATTCATCACCTGTTTGTTTGTTGTGCTGTGGTGGTTTGCATGTTGGTATGATGCTCAAAGCTATGTCACTGGTATTTCAAATACGAGCAAGGTCACCCATGATGGACAGACTCCTGCAGGGCTTCCAAACTAAGACAGACTAGGTGGTGTGTTGGAACTGCCAACCTTTTGATTAGCAGCCAAGCACTTAACCATTGCATCATCAGTTTCAAAGCAGCTGAAAGCTTAGTATGTATGTATAGCCAAATGATCACTAAACATAGGAGGAAAGGCTTTGACACAAAAGGCAGAGATCAAAGCTAGCAAAGAGAAACAACAGTGATGCACCATGAGGAGAATAAACACAACCCGGAAAACTTAAATATCCTAAGAGAGAAATAGGGGAGATTACAGGTAGGAAAAAAGAACAAGATGCTCTTAAAAAAAAAAAAGTAAGAGTAAAAACAAAGAGAGTTATTTTACAATGTGGTGGCCAAAATTTTAGCAGGAGAATCACCGGAATTCTGATGTGAAATCAAGTAGTATTTTAATAGCACAAATGTGTGCTGAAGTTTGTGTGTGTGTGTGTGTGTGTGTGTGTGGCTTTGTAGTAGCTGAGAGTGGGGGGAAGGACATGTACTCACATTCCTCTCAGCTGCTGCTCGTGCTGTTTTGCACTACTGATCCTTTCCCTGGAATGGTGTTCTCCTTATTCTGCCTAAGGCCACTAGTACTCCTCTTAATGATGATGATGATAAAACCTCTAAAGTTTAGAGTTTAGAGGATGGTTTCAGCTTCAAGTAAGAACAGTTACTATTCAAATTGGTTTCATGAATAAGAACACTTACTATCTCACCAAATAGGAAGTGAGTTTCAGGCTTGATTGATTCAGTGGTTGGAAAATGGGCAAGGGCTTCTGTGCTATTTGATTTTCTAAAAATCGTGTGCATTTATCACCTTCATTAAATATATAT